TGCAACTATAGCAACCATCATCACTTTCAAAATTAGTTTAGATTCAATGTGAAACTCAATATCCTTTCCATTGCCACCAGGTTCAATGGAAATTATATAATAAAGATCCCATTGAAAACAAAATTAGAGAGCTGCAAAAGTAAAGAGTAGTATCGCACGATACGTGATAAGTATTGTACGATACGTCACGATACACCTGAAAAACAATACGTATCGTGTCTTGTATCGTTTTTGTACCGTATCGTACGATACACGATACGATACATACGATACAATACGCCCGATACGTACGATGATTCTTTTTTTTTTTTTTCTTTTTTTGGGGTTGAAATGATATCGTTTTACTCTAGGACTTATTTTTAAATCACTAGCTAATGAAACAACGTCGTTTCAGTGATTATAGTTTAAAAAAAGTAAATAAAGTCTAATGTTAATGTTGTTCAATTAAATTAAAAATTCCTGATTAATATTAAAATTGTTCAAGCAATTGATGTTGGAAGTTTGAATTAGATGTCGTTGCATTTTGATATTACTGAACAGTCTGAACTATGTTGAAAACTTGAATAGTTGATGGAATATTAATGAAATACTATGTTATTATCAGTCTATGATTTTTTTATAAAGGTATATACATATATTTTATTAATAATTATTTAAAAACTAAAATTACACGTATCTTACGATACACGATACGATACAATACACTATTTTTAAAAAACGATACGCCTTCTGATACATGATTTGACAACCATGGTAAAGACTAAGATACATAAAAGTAAGTCTAAAACAAAATCATTACAAAGAGTATGAGATGGAAATTGAAAGTCTACAATCAAACTTTTATGGAGATACTATGCAGTTGTAATATAAAAGGGAAATAATAACAATGGGAAAAGTGGCAGTTGGTAAAAGTTTAACCGTTAAAATTTGGAGACATTAATAAAATTGCATTAAGAAAGCACAATTGATTGAGTATCTTAAAGTAGTTACCTTCAGAGTATAGCAGCAAGGAATGTTCCAGTCCCCTTTAATTGCCTTTGACCCGCAGCAAATTCACCTAAGAATGTAGTCCCAATGAGCAAAGTCGATACCCACTAAAATACAGAGGTAAAATTAGTAGAGACTTCAATCTAGCATCAATATTGTCACTAGCATCATAGCGTCACTAGCATCATATCGTCACTATCATCAATAAGAAAACCTTTAGGCTTATTATCCAGGACCTTGTTCAGAAATACCGTAATGAAATGAACATAGGAGTTTGTCGCTAGGTATTTGACCAAATAGGATCGTCCAGTTCCTATAGAACCTATCACTAAAAAAAATTGTTTAATTGTACTTTGAATATCTTCTTGGTTTAGGATGTCCGAAGTACCAACCTCCATCCAAGGCTAAGTAGCAGAAGCAGTGGAGGAATCTTCCTGGCTGCAATAAAAAGGTACAAATTGAACTGTCAGTAACAAATAGATCAGAGGTAGAAATACAATCAAAGGTTAAACGTGTGGAGCGACATGGATCCTTTAGTTTGGTTGAATTCATAGCACCAAGAAATTCAGCCCTCCATTTGTACATTACCACACTATCCAATAGGCAATGCACATAATAGAAAGTCATCGCTTTGGTTGAGCTCATAGCACCAAGAATTCAACCTTTCATTTGAACTTTACCAAAGTACCAAACTATCCAATAGGCAATGCACACAATAGAAAACAACCAACAACAACAACACCAAAACCGCCAACACCCATAAATAAATCAAATACCATTAAATTGATCAAAAATAATCAAAAGATGTACACTGATCATAGATTGAAGAAGCATAAAACCTTGAATAGTTATGTTTCACGGCACATCGACCAAGCATAAAACATTACCTGCCACAGCAATGTTAACTTTTTATACCTAGCCAATTGTTAAATACTCCATTCAATTTTTTTTTAAAAAAATAATGAGAAGAAATGGAAAAAAAAAAAAAAAAGGAATGTCAATAGCCATTTTAACCAAATCTCAAGGCTGATGGCTTTGGTAATGGGGGAGAGGAGGAAGGGGCGGCGTTGGGAGCTAGTAACGGCGTACGAATGGTAGATGGCAAGGAGCAGTGAAAGCCCGTGAGAATTAAGACCCCAAAAGTATGAGGGTTTGGTTGTCGTGGTGGGGGACAGACGGTGCTTGCCGGTGGAGAGTGTGTGTCTGTGATAGAGAGAGAGAGAATTTGGACACCAACTATTTAAATTTTTTTTTTTAAAATAGATAAATTTGATTAATTTTTTTTATATAGGCATTGTTATTTATTGGACGATGGTTATTAATTTTATAGGGCTTATTTGTCTACTTGTTCCCTTATTAGTGGACGATTAAACAAAATGGTACTATTGACGTGGAATAATTATTACGCTAAAAGATTTTCTCATATTTTAGATTGTATGAACTGAATTGCATAAGGTTAAAAAAATGAATTGCATTATATTTAAAAATTGTAATGTTTAATTTTAATAAATGATTAATAGTTGGTTTACTAACGATTTCTTGGACTAATAAAAAGTTATTATAATAAGTTATTTTTTTTTTTATCTTTTTAAGGATAGTATTATCAATTAAATTTTTTTGACAAGTATTGACATTCGAAAGTAGTATATAGATTATTACATCTATGCAAATATTTATTTTTTAGTGAAATTGGATATGCACTACGTACTTATAAACAGATAATGTAAATTGGTGATTATTTAATAAAATTGAGAAGAAATTCATATGCTAAATGTTAAAATCATCTCGAATCATCTTATTTGGGTTCAGAATGTATATCTATTTTAACGGATTCATATATGCGTTGGGAAAAATAAAATTTGTTGGACAATTGAATTGAATTCAGATCACATTTTTTAAATCAAATTTGGATTGAATTTATATTATTTGAAAAGAAGATAATTAAAAGTCAAACAACAAATTTATTAGTTGCATTAAAACAACTAATAAAAAATTATTCAAAAAAGGATAATTTAGACATTATAGAATTTTTGAATGATAAATAAAAAAATCAAAAGTTTTTCTCTTAAACCACTTTAATTAGTAGTATGTATAGATATAATTTGGTGAGATAGTTGTCGAATAATTGTAGGCGTGATTAATGGTAATTAAAAATGTGACTTTTTTGGACGGGGGAAAATTTTTAGGACTCATTCTGGTTCATTGGATTAACTAAATTTAAAATAATCTGAACCATTTTTTATGTTGGTGTAACGTAATTCGACAAATAATTTTTTGTTTAATCTTGAAATGATTTGAGCAACTGACCTGTGCTTAAAGACACTATATAATACAAAATAATTGTAAAAGAAAGTGAAAGCATGCCAACCTAAATATTAAACAGGCCAAGAAAAATGTATGAATAATTATTATTTATAAAATCAAAATTGGTAGTCCAAAGCTCAATATGTTTTCGAACAAATTGCAAACACGACCTGGCAATAAAATATAGCAGATGATAACACAGGAACAAATATCCAACTGAATGATGTAGTACATATGCTTAACAGTAAAAGGGGCATAAACCTTGATTAAAAAATAAATCTTTTTCTTTTTTCTTAACAACCAAAAAGTGTGGTAAAGAAATTCAATTTAAAACAAAAGGCCACCACACACCTCTTTCAAAACCGACGCCATTTAGCACCACCTCCGACCACCATAAATAAACCTTATCCAACATAATAGAGATCAAAATCATCAAATATCAAATAATCCAACCTATGTTCACCACCGCTTTCATCACCATCAGCCCATTGCCACTGCCACTGCCCAAAATATCCAAACTATAATCATAAACGATTAATTAAATATCTAAACCAGAAGCAGTATTAAAAAACCAAAATTGAACTGAAATTTCAAACCACAATGACTACAAGCAGTTAATATGTCACCTCATTTCCATCATTAATTGAACAAATAAAGGCTTGAAAACCAAACCAACATCAAATTGAAGTAATCCAAATAACCTAATTTAGCATACACATCCAACAAAGTTGTCCCAACAATCCCATTATTAATATTTCTATTTATAAATGTTTGAATAAGCTTTGCATTTCCCTTACGAAATATGTCAAATATCCTCATGCTTCATGACCCACCGCAAAAGCCAAGCAATTCCCTTCTACTCTAAACCCATCTTTTTAAGAAAGCATTATAGTTAATTAATTTAAACCTTCAGCTAACATAACATTTCGGAAGTACTCTAAAATTGATGGTACAAGAAACAATGGAGTAGGTGTGAGCCATATGTTAAGGTGTTGTGTGTGAAAGATGCCTATGTAAATGAACAATGAAGTGATAAAGAAGATAAGAATTTAAGTGGTTCACCAAGTTGAACAGCTTGGCTTGTATACTATCAATGGAGTCTCTTGCTCCTGTGTTCGTTGTATTGCTTGCAGGGGAAGAAGCGAGTGAGTATAAAGAGTGCAATCCCCTTTTCTGTAGGGGAATCTCCCTTATTTATACAAGCATGGATTTTGTCCTTATTCAAGATTGCGTCATTCCCTCAATCTGTTGGAATCATTCAAAAAATATTTGGCTCAATGTTATTTAAGACGTAAAGTAAATCGAAACAAAAAAGTCTCTTGAAGCCTAGGTGAGATGCGAGAGGCAAAGTGAACGTTTTATTGAAACGAAGCGAATAGTAAAAAACAACAACCAAAAATAGAAACGGGTAGATGTAGAGCATATTAATCAAACAACTTAAAATCACATAAATAGAATCAGCATTAAGCAGAAATAGAAAAAGAAACAAAATAAGCAGAAGCAGAAAACAAAAGTAGAATAAACATAAATAGAGAAGAAACATAATAAGCAAAAACAGAAACAAAAACAACAGAAGTGGAAGTAGAAAACAGAAATAGAAGCAGAACCAAATGAAGTAGATGAAAAGAAGAAGAAATCAGAAGAATCTGGGAATCCTAGAAAAATAAAAATAGAAACACAGAAGAAGCAGAATCAGAAGGAGGAGGAGAATGAGAGAAAAGAAGAACATACATGTGTTCTATCGAAGAAGAAGGCAGCAGCAGAAGCAACAACAGATCAGGTTTTGTCGAAGGAGAAGTTCTATCAAAGAAGAAGATAGAAATAACATATTTGGGCTTTCTGGCGAAGAAGAAGAGAAACAGAGAGAAGAAGAAAAGAACAGAGAAGAAGGAGAGAAGGGGCAAACTTGTTCAAAGAAGCTGTCGGTCTTCTGTCGAGACTTATTCAGGAAGGAGAGAAGCAGCAGCAAGTCATTGTTTAGTTGGGACAAGGGGCAATCGGATGTATGGGCATATCACAATTTTATTCCAATTGCCCCACTCCAATGGTCCATAATAAATAAATAAAAAGCAACTTAAAAAACTTAACAAAGCGTTCGCTTTTCTCGCCTATCGCTTAAGCAACAATTGCTCGCTTTCTCGGTTTTGCTTCGTTTGGAATGCTTAAGGTGAAGGGATCTCGCTTCTCACCTAGGTAAGCTTTTCACAACATTGATTTGGTCATTAAGGAAAATCCTAACCAATTGCCAGGTGAGCTTCTAGAAGTAGTGAGGTGGCATCCTTGAGGTAATGGCTTGATGCCAAAGGCAACATTGGCTAGTGGAACTCCTCTTCTGCTCCCGTAGGTATTTCTGAGTTACTGTGATGATGGTCGAGCTGCTTGGATATTCCTTGCTTATCTAGGAGTTAGAACACTTGTGTTGGATGGCTCAAGTCAAGTCGGTTGAACTGAGATAAATAATTTTGAGCTGCGATAATTTTGGTTGAGCTGTAGTTTTTGGTATCATCAAAAATCATCCTTGATGTACTTTATTTATAACTACATTGACCTAACATCATCCAGTAACTATATTTCTTTTTGGTGTATTATCCAACAATGTCCTACAATACATATAATTGAATTCCAATGTGAAACTTGTTTAGTAGAATGCCAATTTTCAAAAGCTTTATGCATTTCATCTTGAACTTGCTTTCCAATGTTGAGCAAAGAAAGCTTTGCGCACACACAAATAAAATAGGCACAATTGCAACGCAATCCCCATTAACATGGGATCCCCAAATTCACAAAACCCACAAACAAACAAAATATCTAGCCCAAAAAATAAAATAAAACCTCAAATTTAGAGAAATCATGACAAAATTCAAACACAAATGGTTCAAATAGGAACAACATAAATTTGAAGGAGTGAACTAAAAACCTTTCTTCAGCCACACTTTCGTTTTTGGCCAAAAATGTCGACTCCCTCCCCCTTGTTCTTTCTTCTCTTTTGGATGATGTATCTTTAATCACATCATGACCCATCATCCTCTTGATCCCCAAGGATTAAACCTGTATGAAGGCACATGGTAGAAACTGTTGGAAACAATGGTATATTTATTTAAAAAACCATTAAGTATTGAATAAGAAATTGTTATAGTTTTTATGACTTTTGGGAGCAATTGAAAAGGTTGTCAAAGTCTTTGTGACTTTTGTGAGCAATTGAAAATGTGTGAAGTAAATATGACATTAAAGACTACTAATTTAAAATCGGTGACTTTTGGTTAAAGACACCAATCCAAATAGTTACATCTTTTCATAAATTCATCATTACGACTTCTGGTTAAAAAACACCATTACAAATAGTTACAACATTTCATAAAGTCACTATTGATATTTCTTGGACTAAAAGACACCATTTCAAATGCTTGTACCTTTTCATAAAGTCATCATTGATACCCTTTGGACTAAAAGGTACCATTATAAATGGTTACACCCTTTATGAAAAGTCACTAGTGAGTCTATAAATAAATGATTTCTTGCACCCCCAAAACATACTATTGAACAATTCAAAAATTGGTCTCTCATTCTAGTTATCTCAATTATCCAAAATACTGAATTAAGAATTCAGTCTTTCTTCTCTTTCTACATATTGCTGCATTATTATTTCAAATTCAGTTCAAGTATAGACACAAAATTGTGTTTGTTAAAGTCTTGGATATTGAAGTGTTGCATCTTCAAGAACGAAATCCGTTTTATCTTGAGAGACAATTGCTTATCAACTTTAAACACCGAAAAGGGAGTAAATCTTTTTTAAGGAAACTATGATCACACTGGATTCAGATTATTGTTTTTATTATTGGATTTCTAGTTTTCTGGGTTTTACTATTCATGTTGTTCTATGTCAATGTAAGTGCACTGGTTTTGATTTTTATATATTCTATTTAGATTAATGCATAAGTTAGACTTTATACAGTTTAATATAATCTAATTATATACACATTTTCTATAGCATAAACTATAATTAGCTACCAACTCCTCCTCATATGTACATTATATTTTATTTTGTTTTTTAATTTTGCATCTTTCACATAGAATATCCATCATGTTGGAAGTCCACATATTGTTGTTAAATCTAATCTTGAGAAACAACCCAATTGCCAAAAGATATCATTAATAAACCCAAAATCTTGCATAATTTGAGGCATAACCAATGGAAAGTTTTTAACGGGAAATAAAATTTTGGAAGATGATATCATCCCTTAGATCAAAAAATTGAATAGATCCAGACCGTTTCAATAGATTGATAAATTTAAAGATTCTAAAATTCGTCATACTCTATGTCACACCCAGATATTTTTTCTCTTTTTAAAAAAAAAAATACCTGGGTGTGAGTGGGGAATAAAATTACACCGAACATACAATAATCTTCTTTATATTATTTTATTTTTACGTACAAGTACATAATCCTCACAAGATCATTTCAAATATTCTTGATACAACATAAAGAGAAATAATAATAACAGACTCTATCCTTTCAGCCTATCATCCAGCTTGACTTCATATATCTGAAAAATGTTAAATAGGGATAAGCCACCAGCTCAGTAGGATAACGTTTATCAATGACTACCAAGGTTTTAAAACAATACATAATATAATTAAACCGCGAATAAATGCAGGAATATGTCAAAGTAATGAATCAAATAAATAAATAAATTTCAGCACATATCGATCATATCAATCCGTCAATTTTCTAGTCCACACATGAATCGCCTCCCGAGAAAACTTTGGGGTCTTGCACCCTAGGGAACCCAATGCCCCTTCTTGCTTTTCTGGAAATACCAATATCGAAAATTATGTGGTGCCACACAGGCTACCACGACAATTAATCAGTGAACCCAAGGACTAGTAAGAATCTTGTGAATCCTCGCAAGGATCACGCATCTACTAACCCTCTACCCTCGATTATGCGCATTCATAGTAATTTCATCAAAATCACAAAAATAAAGTCATATTGTAGTCAGACCCCACCATAAATCAACATTAAATATTAAAAATGAAATAAACATTTATTATGCAACATGATTTCATGAGATAATTAGGGTCTCGATACAAATACAATATATGCATGATAATGATTTATTTATAAAACTCCAGTTTGACCCCATGATTATAACGATATAATATGACATTATATAATTAAAAATAAATTTGATATGAAACCCCCAAATATGCATAAAATGCATCAGTGATAGTAAAAGATAAAAGAAATCCTACTTTTGCCTTGACTTCTACTCGATATCATGTACTGTGACAAAATAACAAAAATAATATTTTTTAGAATAACAGTAGATAATAAGAGCTCAGTTAAGTTAAAATAATTTCTAAAATAACTAAAAAAATAATGATACTTAAATTTGATTTAAAAATATTTAATGGGGATCAAATTTAAGAAACTCAAGCTAATAAAATTTACTAAATAATAACTAAAAACCTTACCCAAATTTTGATCGTAACTGCGAACTCTTAGGTCAATAAAATTTTGACCCCTTTTCTCTCTCTCTCTCTCTCTCTCTCTCTCTCTCTCTCCCTCTCTCCCTCTCTCTCCCTTCCTTTCTTCCCTTGGTGCGTTGCCTGAAGGCCAAATGACAGGCTATTTATAGCCAAGCCTTGGCTTCCTTTATGTCACCCATGATGCAAGTTGCTTACATCACATGGACATTTGTCCATTTGGTTGCCGTTTCTTTTTTTTTTTTTCCTGCACGTTTTAAAATCTTATAAGATCTTGCAACAAAAATCTGTAACAGGACATTGATTCTTTCCCAGATATATACGGATGTATAGATATTTATAGATATGTTCGTTTATTATATGATCACGAAATTTGACCTATATTATAGTCATTTAACTCATTTTCGCATGAAGAGTCTATATTTGAGGTCCATTTGTTCCTAAAAATTTTATTATATATATATTTAAAAATTATTCTAAATTATATAGAATCAAAATTAATGACCTAATTAACGTGTTAATAATTTATATATATATATATATATATGGATCATCACAGTCTACCCCCTTAAAACGAATTTCGTCCTCAAAATTTGATACTAACCTTGAGAATTAAAAAGATAGAGATATCTTGTATGCATATCTGATTTTAATTCTCACGTGGCTCCTTCAATATCATGATGTTGCCATAGGACCTTTACAAGTGGTATGACCTTGTTATGTAATATCTACTCCTTGGTGTCGAGAATCTACACAGGTTACTCTTCGTACGTTCAATTTTCTTGAATTCGGACATCCTTCCAATCGATGACGTGAGACACATCTGGTTCATATTTCCTTAACATGGATACATGAAACACATCATGTATTCCTGATAATTGAGCTGGCAAGGCAAACCGATAAGCTACATTTCCAATGCGTTGTGTTATCTCGAAGAGTCCAATGTATCTGGGAGCCAATTTACCCTTTTTTTCAAATCGAGATATTCCTTTCCTAAGGGATACCTTCAAGAATACGTAATCATCTTCTTGAAATTCCAAGGCCCTTCTCCTTTGATCTGCATAACTCTTTTGTCGACTTTGAGCCGTGCGTAGTTGATCCCGAACTACTTGGATCTTCTTAGTGGTTTCTCGGACAATTTCTGGACCTAATAAAATGCTTTCACCAGTTTTAGCCCAACATAGAGGTGATCTACAAGGTCGTTCGTATAGAGTTTCATACGGTGCCATGTCAATACTGCTTTGGTAGTTATTGTTGTAAACAAACTTCACTAGTGGAAGATGTTCATTCTAACTGCCCTTGAAATCTAGAGCGCAAGCTCATAACATATCTTCCAATATTTGGATAACCCTTTCATGTTGGCCATATGTTTGAGGATGGTAAGCAGTACTGAAATGCAACTCAGTTCCCATGACTTTTTGCAAACTCTGCCAA